ATCAGTTTTCTCTGAAGCAATGCAGGAAACAACATGTTATCAGTTCAGACTGTTTAGTGGATTTATTTCTCAAGCCAGCAAAACCACACCCACTTGGCATAAAACCAGATTAAAATCAAATAAGATTTATATGTACTTGCCTTGGACATTGTTGCTCATTTCATACCAGAAAACTTATTTCCTTTTCATGCATATGTTATAATTTATAACCACAGAACAGAAAGAAAACAAATCTTTGTTTTACAAGATCCTTTTACCAAGACATCTTGAAGAGCGAGTTGAATAACTTGAAAGAGTTATTTGGAATGGTATGAATAGTCTGAACTTCTGCTAGCTTTGGGTGGGAGTCAAGTACACTCACTAAGCAGTTACTGAAAAACTCAGCACCTCACAGAATCAATCCCCTGAACAGCCCTCAAGTTACTTCAGCAGTTTAATGAGACGGACTGCTTTGAAGGAAAAACTAGCAATAGCTCTCATCAGCCAGATTCAGCAGTGAAAAGGACTTGCTCTACAACAGCTGGAATAGCTCCTGCTCTAGCTTTTCTCCCCTCTTCAGTTTTCTACCCCCACTATACTACACTCTGTTGCTTTGACACAGCCACTTCGTCCGCCTCATAAAAAGCAATGCCAACTTTGGGTTGCCTTAACACACACTGAAAAACAATTCAGCTGCTGCTACTGGAGAACCAGAATCATCCCTAAGTAGCAGAAAATTTTCTACAGAGCACAGAAATTGCTATCACTGCTCCATAATAGAGCACTAATCAAGATAAAACACAAGCACCCTGAGGAAAACAGTGTTAGGGATTAATGAGTGCACACATTCAGCAGTAATCATGGGTTGCACAGCATGGAAGTGTGATTATTTTCCCTTCTGTTCCTAAATTTTCAGGCAGCCAATGCAGCCACAGCAACTGAGCATATCTGTTATCTGATAACAGTTCAAGACATGCTATTTAGAAACTCTTGAAGAGTTTTTTTAAATCTATCCTTATACTTTCTTCTTCTTGATATTTTACATTAGATAAACATATTTAGTATATTTGTGTGTCCTAGGCCTGTTTAATTGTCATTCAATATCTATGTATGTGGCTATATGTAGCTATATATATGTAATATAATCCATGAGAAGTTGTAATGTTGTACTATAATTAAAAAAAATCAAACAAAACCAAAGAGGCAGCCAAGGATAATTACTCTGCAAGCAAATACAAAGGTGCACCCTAAGCAGTTATCTTAAGGGAAGGTACTGATCTTTGTCCTGCTCTGCTGCTTTTGGTACTTGCCAGACTGTATCAGACTAATTTAGCTTGTTAAACCAGCAGAAAACAAGTACACTAAAGTGTTTTGCCAGGCTTTTGCATAGAATCAGCTCAGCATAAGGTCCAGCAAAAGCAAAAACAATGGTTAGACCAGAGAGCCAAAGCACAGAGGTCAGAGTGATGAACACCTTTAGGTATAATGAACAGCTTCACTAAAAAATCCTACCCAACTGTCTCATCACAATTTTATGCATTTTTGCTACTGAGCAAGGTGAAATTCAAATGATCAATCAATTCACTATTTACTTGCAGATTAGCTATGTTTGCAGTGAAGATAATGAGCTACACTCCTTCTTCCCCTTGCCATCCATTTGCTAGAAGCCTGAACCCTGACTTGAGAGGTTTTCAGGTTGCATTGCCAGGGAGATTGCACTGACTGGCTTTTTTCCCCTCCACACTTTTCAAATACTTGCTTTACAACATCTTTTGACAAGAGTATTGGTTCTGCAATAGACAGATATGCAAGTATGAGGTAGGAGAAAAGACAAGAAAGAACTTTTATTCAGGGTGTTATAAATAACACTTATCAACAGTAGCAGTAAATATTAGAAATAGCATTTTTATAAGAAGAAGAAAGCAATAGCAAGTAATAAATGTACCTGTTTAACAGCAGGCCCACGAGCTCTACAGACTGATACCTCCCTGTGTTAAGCACCATGCTGCCAGAACTGCCTACCAGCAAGTTCTATTTCCCAGGAAACCCTTCCCAAGAGCCTGCTGGGCTAAGCAGTAATAACCATCTCTCCAATCTCTCCTGTTACTTGCAGGAATTATTCCTCTCCCCTCTCTCTGAAGGTAGACTCATTTCCATCCTCTCTTCTCCACATGTTCTCCAAGTGTTAAATGCATATGACTTGCACATCCATATGACTTGAAAGTCTTTTAGCTGGCTCCTATGAAGCAGAGTGCACATTTGTACAAAATAACAACAGATTATAGGTTATTAGAAGTTGAACTAAGAGGGAATGGATATTCACATAAATGGAGCAACATAAAGAAGGAAAAGACAAAGATGTCCTTTGGTCCTTTAAATGGTCCTTTGGTAAACACACTGGACTGAGATAATGCCTGAACCCTTCAGATGCCAGTCCAGCCCCAGAGTGGGTTGCTACTGCCCCCTGCATCACCTACATGTCCTAGCAATGGAGCACTGGGAGAAACTCTTCATGTCATGCCAGGATGGAGACTTCTTCAGACACGGGAATTCCTGAAACATTGCTGTATCCTGTTAGCATAAAGGACCACAATACACAAATTTGTAGGAGTATGAAAAAAATCAGTTTTTAAAAGCACAATCTGCTTTATTTTACTAACACTACTTCCTTGAAACAGGTAAGTTGCATCATTTTTTATTAGTTATTTCATTTCATGCCCCAGAAAGAAGGGCCACAGTTCCATAAAAATTACTAGGAGGGTTCTCATTTTGCAAAATAAAAATACTTTATTTTTACTTGAATATGTAACACTACTTGCAAGTCTGAGCTTTTTCCCATATTTTAAGAACATGGTATCAAACCCAAGCCTGCAGAAAAAGCCATCAGGTATCATCTTGCATTACAAGGGAAATGAGATGTTTGAGCTAACATCACGTGCAATACTTGAAATACATTCATGATTTACAATGAGCAGCATGATTTCTGACAGTTTAGCCACATGACAGCTGTATGTGCCAAGCTGGGGAGAGAATCATTGCCCACCTGCTTCTCCCAGTACAATTCCAGTCTTCATTTCATACTTACCCTGCTCACAAAAATTAAAGTGGAAGACTTGGAAAAGGTTGTGTAGCAACAATTAAGAAGGAAGCTTTGTTCTAAATCAACATAAGAACTTCTCTCCTAATCCAGAATATGAAAACTGTTTTGACATGGACCATAGTTTTAATTTCCCATTGCTGTTCACTACCTTCATGTTATCCTGTAGAAGACAGGCCTGCTGCCACATAGATACAGAACAGCTGGAAGCAAACTTCTGAGTTTTGCATTAAATGCAGCATCTCTGATGAAAAAGAAAGAACAGTTCATAGAATTGTAATGCAAACAAAAATTTAATCTTTAAAGAAAACGTTCATGATACGGAAGGTCACAATACAAAGTTCTTAAACACAATATAACACAAACAAGTTGAAAAGCCTTTTTTGATTGGAAATGATTATTTATACAAAGACTACATGCCAACAATATTATTGTACAAAGTTTGACAGTGGATTCATGAACTGATTCCCTGAAAATTCCCTTGTTTTGAAGAAATAGTGAATATTAAGGTAATGGCTGAAGTGAATTCAAGGAATTCAGAGTTACATTTGTTTCCATCCTCAATTCTAAGCACTTGGATTAGGTTTCATGGTACAAAAGGGATAGTAAAGGCACTGTGGTTTGAAAACAAGGCTAGACATCATAGCCTTTACATGTTCTGGCTTTTGTCTGGGTGTTTTTTAAACACCCAAACATGCAGCTAAAATAATCCAACCCTCCTGAGGGAGTGCAGAGTGAACAAATTAAAGTCTGCAAAAAATGTAACCCATTTAGCCTATAATACAATATTATTATTAATTATACATGTGGGTCTCAAATCCTCTACCATTTTAGAAATTAAGTACCTTTCTCCAAGTTACTTCTGTTAATTCACTCCTGACAAAATTAGTGTAGAATGCACATTTAAGATAATTTTTCACCTTCATCAGTTTGGTTGATTATGGAAAAGGACTGATGCATTCCAAAAAAGTTGAAGCTATAGGCAAGTCAATTACTTGCTGATTTAACTTTTTCAACACAGCTTTCTAATTTAGAAATAAAGCTTCAAAGAAAATTCACATTTAATCTGATAAAAATTATTAGACTGCAAGTCTTAAGTGTCAAATTCTGGCATAGTGTGTTCTTTATTGTTAAGTTATGAAGTCCAGACAGGCCTGTTGCAATTATTAACACAAGTCTTGCCACAGGGGTGTAAGTCAATGCATTGTGGTTTAATCGCATGTACCACAACTAGCTCTGTTGATGAACCATGTCAATTCCTATGGGACTGTTATACAACTCAAAATGAGTTAACAGAGTTTGGAGGAGTTACATATGGACATTATGAAACACTGTTCAAGCAGCACTGGTCTGCACATAAACACAACTAACCAGTTTAAACTAAACATTTCTAGAACTACATAGAAAGCAATTTGTTTTACCACACTTTGGTTCCCTGAGAAGAAAAGTGCTCCAACTACAAAGGTCTTTGGAATGCCATCAGCACAGTGGATAAACATGCACCTCTTGCACTGCTCCTGCAAAGACATCTACTTTCATGTTGATAAGAGTTGTTTGGGCATTTTCATTCAAAATAACATTACACTCCAAAAAACTGGCAGTGGAATGGGAGCAAGAGATGACTAAAAGTAGTCTAGTACTAAAACTAGCTTTATCTGTGATAATTTGCTATTACAAATTGGAATGCAGTTTGTTAGCACACTTCTTGAACACAAAGTCATTAGGGGCAGTTTACTTCATCTGCTTAACCCATAATTGAGATTAGTTTTTGAAAACTGTATTATGTTAAAGTTTTAAAATGTGCTTTTGGAAAGAATGCTAACCTCTTCTTTCCCCAGGGCCATACCTTATGTTTCTGGTGAACATGATAAACATAATGTGAATTAAGACTTCAAATATAATAAAACAGCGCACAGCAGAAGAATGAAGTCAGGAAACATTTTATTTCCATCCAGTTTTGCAAGTATTAAGGATGGCATAAGAGTTTTTCCCACCACTCTGATTTATGAAATTATTACATCCCTAGAAGAGGCAAAGCTTATAATGCTTCCTGTCTTTTCCTCCCAAATGCTTGTAAGTTATGTGATTATTTAGTTTGTTTTATTTGTCTCTTTCTGTCCCTATCTAATACAAACCTCAGACCTCATTCACCCTCTCCCCAACAGCTGGGTGTGGAGAAGCTGCACTGAGGCAGTCAGTAATGAGAAGTTATAAAAATATTAATCAGCAACATACACTACACTAACACCTGGGATGCTCACAACATACAGAAGACAACTTTGCAACTATTCTGTTTGCCATCATTGTTTCTGCAGATCAGTAATGTAAGATTGGTTCTCTAGGACATGCGCACAACAGTTACTTCAGATTCTTCTGATTCCTCCCAATTTCTAGGCAACGTTTAATTTTGTATTTACTATTTTTAAGACAAAATGCTGAAACCAGTTCTAGGTATTTAATAGCAAGATTCAAATGGCATCTCCCGCAATTATAGAATTAATGCTTAGTACTTGTCAAAAGCTTTTAAAAATTAAGTTATGTTGAAAAATTACTTTCCATATACTCCATGCAATTAAACTGCTCAAATAGTTTAAACTCTTAATTTAATACATCCTAAGTTAGAGAAGAGTTCATATTTAGAAACTAATTCAAGACAGTTCTTAGACCTCATATGGCAGGAATAAAACTATTTTAAATCATTGCTATCAACAGAAAAAATTCTCAGAGTAAAAAAGTATATACACTCTCACTATAGCCAGGCAATCATCTCTTCTTTTTCAATACTACCATCAACATTTAGCTGAATTATTTCAATCAGTAGAAACTAACCAACAATTCACGTTCCAAAATTCAAACATGTTTGCTTGTAAAAGGCTGCATCTTTTGTTTGAATCTGAATAAATGTTTCTTTTCCAATCAACAATACAATCAACTTAGTTCAATGCATTTAAGTTTAAGACTGATTTGTAAATTGCTCTCTCTCCTTCACTCCTCTCTATCCATACAGATCTTTAGAGAGATATTAAGCAAGACCTGTAGAATGCAACAATGCAGAGTTTCATTTTAAACTTAGGACTTATCTGGGCATGCCTGCAAACGCTCTCTGACACGAGGTGGAAGTGTTTTTAACAACCTTTCTTCTACAATTAGATTATTTCTCTTTAAGAGCTGACATTCTTCCAGTTCAGCAGGAAGTGATTCAAGATAGTTCCCAATGAGCTCTAAGTGAACAAGATTCAATAGCTGACCCACAAAAGGGGACAAATTCATCAGACTGTTATTTCCCAGAAGAAGAAACTGCAGCTTTTTGCACTGAAATAATCCATCAGGCAGCATTTCAATCTAGAAAAAGAAAAGAACAGAAGTAAAATACATTAGAAGGTGTTAGCCTATGTGCAGCTGCATGTTTTGACATTTCCCCTTTTTATTTTAGGGTGAAATACCCTCTTAGTTTGTGAAAGGAAAAGGAAGACTGTAATTCCTCTATCATTATGTGATCAAGTGCTTGAGAGCATTACAATGGTTTTATTATCCCTGTTTTCTTACAAAGCTGCTTAGCTCCTGGCACAAGCAGGCCTGCAAGGGGGAGCACATCCATGTATGCACGCAGAACTGCACACAGACACGTGCAGGTGGCAGGGCAGAGGAAGAGCCTACTATTCCAAAGAATCACTTAATAAGAACAAGCACAGACTGTGGAGAGGTATTAGCAGCTCTTGTGTTGTGAAACCTGTACAAGCAGTTATCTGTGCAGTGAAGTTGTCCTGGCCCACTCTACTGACACTTAACATCCAAAACCAGCCTCAACAATGCAAACAATTACAAACCTCAGAAGAATTCCCAAGCCTGAGCTCCACACTAACAAGCCAGGCAGTTTAGCACTGATTGTGAGGTCACCACAATTATTTCTCTCTTCCCAGTCATACACCTGAGATGCTCATCAACCAGCTGCTCATTCACTTTAGCTTTCAGCTTGATGTTTTAAGGTAAACATTAAACACTGTTCACTTCCACTAAAATACTACATAGGATTGACAACTGCAGGGCAAGGGAAGATCTGTTTCTGCAGCCATGCTAACATATACCATCTCTGGGTCAAAGCCCTTAAGCAGCTACAAACCAGGACAGTACTTATTGAGTATTATGTGAGCTTTGCTGATACCAAAGCTTTAGTAAATAAACAAGCACCACCCCTTTTTTCTGGATTTACTTTAATCATGAACACCACAAAAGCTAGAGGTTGTTCCAGAAGAAATAGCAGCTTAAGTCTGTTTTTTGTTTTTGAGTAGTAACTCAAAGTTCTACTTACATGGTTTTTTGTCAAAGCCAAGTACTGCAGGTTGGTCAGATAACCGATTTCTTCAGGGATGGAGGTTAGCTTATTATAGCTAAGATCCAAATAGTGTAACTTTCTGCAAAGAAATAGCTGCAATGGAACATTCTTAATGTTATTATAATTTAGATACAATTGTTCCAGGTTTGATAATGCACCAATCTGCACTGGGACATACGAAATACTGTTGTGCCACAATTTTAAGCAAGAAAGATTCTTAAGATGTTGGAAACTAATTATTTCTTCCACTGTTCTGAGATTATTTTCTTTTAAGTCAATTTCATGCAAATTGTTTAGGGTAAAAATGGAATGGGGAATGCGCTCTAAATCACAGCAGATTAGTTCCAGGGTTCTCAGGTTTACCAGCTTCTTCAGGTTATTTAGCACTATCAGTTTATTTCCCTCATTGTTGATAGACAAATGTTGTAAAGAAGGCAGAAGATCTGTGATCACTTGAGGTAAACGGGAAAGGTTGTTTTTTAAGTGAATTGATCTCAGATTTTTTAGCCCCTGAAAGCCATCATTGTATATGGAGTTGTGATGATCTAGCATGAAATATCCTGTTAAACACAATTCTTGTAGATTTTTTAGATGAAAGACCCAAAATGGAATTCTTCCCATCTCACTAGACTTCAAACGCAAGGTTTTCAGATTTTCTTCTAAGAAGTTGACTGCTGGATAATCCATTGTTAGTGATGAATGATAAACATTGAGTTCTTTGAGATTGACAAGCTGGGTCACAGCTGAAGAAAGTTTGGCTTCAGGAATAAGTTCCAGGCTTAGAACTTCTATTTCTGTCAGTTCAAAGACACTGTCTGGAAGACCATTTAACATGAAAAGGTGAAGTTCAGTCTTGTCTTGGGAGTTTCTTACTAGTTTATTTTTCAGTTTTTCCACTGACCATTCATTGTTAAGATTTATCTGTTTGAGCTCATTTTCACTCAAATCAGACAGGAATATTGAGAATCGTTGGGAATAAAGAGGATCATACTGATCTGCCAAGTGAAGAATAAATGCAAAGTCATTCTTTACATCAGGTATATCAGTGTAATTACTTTTCTCTCTCAACTTCTCAAAAGAGTATTGCTTAAGTGAACTTCTTAACATCCACCACAAACTGTAAGTACAAGTTAATCCATAGAAGATCACCAAAACAACATAAAATGAAGCCAAAACTTTAAAAATTTCTGCTAGCGAATAAACACACTGGTACCTTTTGTAGCCTGTAAAGGCTTGAACATTAACTACACAATCAATTTCAAGTGTAATAAATGATAAATAGTAGGGGACATAAGTTACTATTATGACAACTACAAAGACTTTCACTATAATCTGTTTCATATACACTGTGTATACGACATCCTTTTCTTCGGCGTGTACTCTGAATTTCTTCACTTTTTCAAATATAGCTTTAGCTTGTTCCCCTTCTTTTTTGTCAAGAACACTGGAATTTTCTCTTCCAGTTGTTTCTAAGCCATGTTGTGAATATGGCAGGGACTGTCTGCTGGCCCCTATGTCTCCTGAACACTGAGGTGATGAAATTGCTGGTTTTGATTTGGCTGTTGGCAACTTCCTGGCAGACTGCTCAGCAACTGTTTCTGAGAGGGCACGTGTTGTCCAGGGAGAGTCGAAACACTTCTGAAGAACGGCTACAAAGTGCTCAAGCCTGGAACTTGTACTGGGATAGTAAAGCCAGAAATTACTGCAAGCTGCAAAAATGAAGGTATGCAAAAGCACTAGGTATGGAAAAAATTTGGCAAACCAGTGAAGCTGTCGCTCATAACACACTGCATCGATGTAGGAATACTGCTGCCGATGGAGATAATTCTGGATTTTAAGCGGGATGATTATCGGTGCTGTCGAGCTAGCTGACATGTTAAGGTTGGCTTTGACTAAATCCCAAGGCACAGCACAATGATTGTCAAATTCTAGCTTGCAAGGAAGACAACACAATACTCTGGTTTGAGTAAGCTGGAGAGCCCCAGCAAGCACAGCAACTAGCAGCATTATCATGGTGAGGTAATACCAGAAGACATCCCACCATGGTTTTAGTATGTGGTAGGATGACTGGGCATCTGCTAAGCATTTGAGTTCTGTTAGCGTGATCATGACTTTCACCTGTGAGAGAACAGCAGCTGGTAGAAGAAAAAAGAGAAGAAAAGACATTCTTAGAGAATTGTTAAAAAAAAAATCTCACCATTAAATACTTGAGATCTATTATTGTTATCACAGTTCTAAATATGTGTAACATGTGACCTGGACTCCAGAGCATAGCAAAAAGATCCAAGAACTTCTGGGACCCGACCCCATCCATCATCCCATGGATTTATATTAAGGAAAGGTATGTGGAAGTGCAAAAACGTAAAGAGTGAAACTAGCCTGAGAGAAGGTATATTAAAACCAAACATTTGGGTACTGCTGCAGTAGAAGCCACAAATAGGTATAAGTCAAAGAAGTGGCTGATGTACTATTAGCAGTCCTTCACTACCATTATAAACTTACATAAGTGATTTTTTATTTATGAAGAATTCCAAAATCAGAGTGGTACATGAACATGATGGCTCTTGTAATGTAGAATCTTCTACCAGATTAAATAATTCTACCCAATTAAAAAGACACAAATTCCCAAAAAGCCCTTGTGTATTACATATTCTTATACATAATTCCTCATCTTCTCCCATCAAGAGAACTAAGCGTATTGGCAGAATTAAAATTAAGGTGGCACAATGTATTATTGTTCAATATTGTTATATATATATAAAAATGACACATTTAACTCCCAGAAGCATAGGTTTGATTCATACTTACTTTACTAATTAATTAAAGAGAATAAAAAACACAGCACTGCTCAGTCAGGAGGTCTACACCTTTTAAAATTCCTTGGACATGCCATCTTTACATTTGTCTTCATTCTGGATGAAGAAAACATTGAATATACTTATTTAATGACAATGTAAATAAAGAGCAAACATTTCAGCTTGCATTACAACTGCTGCCTCATTATGCCTCCATTAAGCTCTGCATTGCTACAGCTACATGAAATGGAAAAGGATGTATATATGTGATCATGCAGCATGTAAAGTCAAAGTTTTGCAGTCACATCAACAGAAAAATCCCCAAACACCCAGGAAAACTGCCTACAGCTAAGCCCTATTTCAACAAGGAAGTTATTTTTTTTCCCCCCAAATAACTATGAACCTGTTACTTGGGAAACTGACCCCCACCTGGCTACACTCTCCTTTCAGGCAGCTGCAGAGACTGATAAGTTCCCCTTGACTGATAAGTTCCTCCTTTTCTCCTGGATGAGCTCCCCCAGCTCCTCACAGAACCTGTGCTCCAGACCCTTCCCCAGCTCCACTGACCTTCTCTGGGCTCACTCCAGCCCCTGAATCCCCTTCTTGTAGTCAGGGCCCCAGAACTGGACACAGCACTCGAGGCAGAACCTCCCCAGTGCTGAGCACAGGGAAGAGCCCTGGTCTCCCTGGCTGCACTGTTTTTGATACAGACCAGGATGCCATTGGCCTTCTTGGCCACCTAGCACACATGGGCTCTTGTTTATAATATATTGGTAGTGTACATTTCAATTTTAAACAGAGCTGGCAAACTGTTATAAAAGTCAAACAATAGGTGAACCTGATTCTTACTCCACATTCAAGTGGAAAAAATGACCGAAAATAAATTAACCCTTCTTGCAATAAATTAACCCTTCTTGCAATTATAAATATTCTATTTATAATAGAATACAAAAACTTACCAGGCCCACCCAAGGGAAAGCAGCTGAAGAAGGACTGGATAGTTACAATACACTCCTGTAAGGAAAATAAATTGTCATAAGACTGTGAAATGTTTGGACTCCAAAAACTGTGAGTATTAGAACAGCAGCTCATTACTGCTTCCACAGCAGCATTTCAAAGAGCCAACATCTATGAGTAAAAGATCTAAGGATCTACAAGATGCCACCCCCTTCAAATTATCTATATGTTCACTACCTGAAAGTTGCTTTTCCTGAAGTAGAAATAAAGTAATGGCTTTGTCCTTCTCCCCTTTCTAAGCACTAAAAGCCATTTAAGCTCAACAATTTTTACATTTACGTAAAGTTACAAGTTCTGCAGCTGAGATGCTACACAGCGGAAAAATAGCAATTTCTTTAATCACTCCAACTTCCAAAAGCACATCTCAAATGCCTTTAAAATGAGTTCTTTTGACATAATTCTTGTGGTTTGAATATAAATGTGTCAGCATAAAAGCATAAAGGGATACTAAACCCATTCAAATTAAGGCTTTCATTCTGCAAAGAATACCTGGATCACATCTTGACTCAAGCCAAACATGCTTGATTTGAATGTAAACAGAAGAAAATCAAAAACATTTTTTCTCTTCCAGCCTAAAATTTAAACCAGTCAATTCTTCTTGCTTGAAGTTTGTTATAAAAATGTTAATAAAAATGTTATAAAAATGGAAGACTTGGGACCTCTGTTAAAGTTGTAAAGAACACACTAAGAGATTAATATATTGAATGATGCAACAAAGTAAGATCAAAAGGTAAAAATAGCAAACTTTTAAAAAAGAAAATCACTTGAAAAGTTAAAATTTTCACTAAATTGGCTGACAGTTTAACATAGTGTGAAAGGTCCAGTGGGCATGAGGATGGGAGCAATTCTTTTCCTAACAAACATGTAAACCTCATCAGGGACTTGGGGAGATACTAACATTTTAAGATGATTCATATAACTAAATGCTTACTGGAGTATTCTTGAGGAATAAGGCATACCTGCTCAAAACAAAGGACAAAATTCAGAGTACAATAAAACAGTTAACACTCTTTGATAAAGCATTTTCCCTAAAATTTACAAAATTGAGAACAATTCTGTGAAAATCATATTGGTATACTTAAGAGTATGCATCACTCAATACACCTTTTTCAACCAATGACATAATGCTAAAAAATAAAAAAGTGCTTTGTTTTTGTACAGACTGAGAACTCAATCTGCGGCTGACCCAGGTAACTTTGTGAGGTCTGTTTCTATAAACTGCTTTGTCACCTCTCTGCCTTGCAGAGAGTATGCAGTATATACAATTGTAACATAAACATGTGAATTATTGATGATAATTTTGCTGAAGACATTTTTCTTTCAAATCCTATCTGTATGCCAAGAGTGGCTAACCAAATGGAATAATGCTGAACTGTAATGGATTTGATAAACTTCATCTCCAGCAGCTTTCAACCCATATCAAAGCCATAAAAGCTTTTCAAATGTGACCTAACTCAATTGGCAATCTTTCTTACAAGAAGAGAGAATGAAGCTTAGCCCCAGGCAAGATGATGACTTCAGGAGAGTTACTCCAGACCAATACAGAGACACAGGCCAGAAAAATAAAGTAATAAAGACCACTAATATTGAGGTAATTTTTAGTTACTTCAAGACTTATTAAATCAGAACAACAGAAACATATCCAGAATATGAATAAAAGGCTCTCGTTTTGAAAAATATTATCTGTAAGCATCAGACACCCACCACCACCCCAGCTGCCAAAAGGGTACTTAGTATTGCATTACTCCCTCATTTGGTCATTGCTCACAGAATTTTAGGCACATTTAGTCAGGGATGTCTTTGCAGCAAGGCAATTACCTTGCCTGTCCTCCCTAAAGGGTATTCAACTGGTGTTTCTGACATACTAATTTAATCAAAATAGATTTATACAACTAAAGCTTTATACAATTACTTGACAGGTACTCCCATGGCCCCCCTGTCTTGCTTTTTTTCCCGCCCTCTCAAAGAAACACAGCCACCAAGTTTTCAGGCAGTCTCTTTAGACTCTTGCAGCTACTTCTCAGCCTAGATAGGGAGATGCTGACATACTAAGTAATGTATCTTGTTTAATCAATTTTCTATCAAAAATCATTCCTGAACTACAGAACCAACTTAGCTTCTAGCTAGTTTAAATAGATCACTTTTTCTTCTCAAGTTTTGGATGGAAAATTAAGTTTGCCAATGAACTAAAAATATCAGTTTTGCTTCATAGGCAGTTTTGAGACTCCCCTATGAGATTCCCAGCACCTGTTTATGGTTTCATATGCACAGCCTGAGCCTTGCAAATAAACCCTCATGAAAATTCCCAAAAGAACAAAAATAAACAAACTTTACACATACACACGCTCATCACCCACACCAGATCTTTCCTGGCAAAACCTTCTCCTTTTATTGGCATGTTACTGCTCCCTTTCTCAAGTATTCTGTAAACAGCAAACAGCGAGGTACTGCAAGAGTTCTGGTGCAAGTGACTCCATAAAGAATGATACTGCCATATTTACTCTTAGCAGAAGCATTTACATGACTGCCTCTCCCCTTTTTAAGCTGTGATTCTTCCAGAATCTGTACGTTGGTCACCTTGTGCATACACAGGTTCAGTTGCAGGACCTTTTTGATAGGGATTGTGGTTTTGAATCTGTATTCCATTGAATGCTGAATAACACAAACAAGATTAGAGAAAGCTTCTTTCCAGCTCCTTCTGAAGATCACAGGTGACAATTAAACATGTGTAAGTGATTATCCTTTTGTATTTAAAACAAATCCAAAGACATTCCCACACTCTACAATAAACAGTATGTTCCTCAAGCACTGGACCTTCACCACTACATTAACATTATTCCAAGTTTGCCATATCAACCTCTTAAATAATCAAAGACCTAAAGTCCTTCCAAATACTCAGAAATTAAGCTACAGACAATCTCAACCATGTGTACCTGGACTGGCTAGAGGCCCTTGACTTTCTTAAACACTCCTGCTCTCAAGACAGCTGAACATAAGGTGCAAAACAGTAACAGCAAAATTTAACACTGCTTAAAAATCAGTCTTTGCTCTTGGGGGAAGGCTTACATGAACCCTTATAGCCAAGTAATTTCTCTGGAAAAGAATTGTAAACATAGTTTAAAATTTAGTGAGTTAGGCTACCCTTTACATTACGAGATTTACCCTTCACTGCTACAGCTTCAAAGTTCATTGCACAGCCCATAAGTTGATAAAAAAATCTTAAGATCAAGCAACTACTACCTCACTGTACCTCTATCCTATCTTCATGAAGCTGAAAAAACCAAGAGTAGAACATGTCAAGTATATCTCAGCTTCCTGAACTACCTAAAAGCCTGAACATTCCCAGGTTCAACACAAAAGGACTTAGGTGGAAAAAAAAAAGCAACCTAAAGGCAGTTTCACTCTTCTTTCTTTCTCTGGTACACTGGAGGTAAGAAAAATACTTTGTATAGTCTAAAGTTATTATAAAGTTGCAGTCTAATCTAAATTGAAAATATGCTTTACTCCAATTTGATTAGCTTTACAAGCACAAGACTTTGCTGAAATCTGACAGTGCAGGACTAGATACATTACATTGTGCATTTCCTTCCTATGTCTGCAGCCTCCAAAAAAGAACAGTCTTCCTTGAGCCATATTAACTTCTCATTAAATATCACTGATATCCACCTATTGAGCCTTTTCTCTATTCCAGGAAGGCCAGTCAAGAGATAAACTTTGGTTGTAAAATCTGTCACTGTTCAAACACTCACTAGGGAGAAGGACCACATTCAAACATTCTGGTTGCCTAAAATGACAAACCTGTGGGCCCTCACAGATCAGGACCACATCACTTAGCTCTGCCCAAGGGCATGAAGGTACTGGAGCTGAACTCTCACAAGAAGATGGGAGGGTAAAAACAAGTTCACTATTTTGAAGATTAAACTCTGTAATGAAGCTGCATTATAAGATTTGCATTTAAAAGTTGTTTAAAGTGTGCTTTTTATTTCATTCAAGTCTAGCCCATAGAGGAATTTCAAATAAAAAATTCACATTCAGATATAAATATTTTTACTAGTAAAAGCACTTTCTCCAGCCCTTTCCTCAAATTAAGGATTGTGTTCTATCTGAAATAGGTCACAACCTATGCTCCTAGAAAGTGAGAAAAAGATTCAGTTTAAACCCAAGTTTAGAACCAGAGATAGGTGAGACAATCAGTTTACAGAAAAACCCTACAAAATAAAATGTAGAAAAATTAGTAAGTAGGTACAAACCTAAGATTTGGAAAAAGTATGTTACAGAGTTAGATAGATAAGACTTCTAATGGTAAAAAAATACAGTAAAATGAAAGGTGGACCAGCTTTGCTTTCATGTAATTGCATCAACATTACCAATCTCTTTAAGAACAAGCTGTCTGCTTGTCCAGAGCCTATAACTCCATTTGTAGCCATGGTGCTTTCCGAGATCCCTAATGAACCAAGCAGGATCTGGACTCAGAATCAAATCTGAGCATTTCTAGTAAGCAATGTTTTTTACAGCTTTACTGTCTCAGTACTATTTTTAAACTCAGAGATGCATTGTTAAAATATACAAATTAAGGTTATAACTTAAAACTTGAGACATATCAGCCTCTAAAATACTGACTACGAGAAATATCAATGCAAGCATCTGTTCAGAAGAGTGCTTTATATTGATCATACAATAGATACTTACCTAGTTACATCCCAATATTTAATTAATAACTTATATCATTTGTGTTCATTGGAAATTCTAGCATTCTTGTTTGCTTCGTTAATTTCCCTTTCTCCAAGCAGCTGTATATTGCGCATACTCCACTTTGAAAAGGAAATTATTGGATGAATGTGGCAGCAATGATGTAGCTCTCAGAGCAGCAAAGGCTGTCCTTCACTAATACCCAAGAAAATACTTGCAGCAACAAAGGGCACCATCCCTGTACAAAGCTAATCTGGATGTCTAAAGAGCTTTATCATCTCAGAAAAAGGCAACAAAATCAGAATCAG